TTCTCTTCTTTTCTTTTCCATACCAACAGGAGGCACCGCCGGTGGTCCTCCATCCAAATAATAGATCATCAAGTGCTCACAACAGGAAGGCCACCCTGCGGGCTATACAATCAAATTAGATTATCAAAGGTGCGCAACAACAAGAAGCCATCCTGTGGTTTTCCACATAATCCATATACAATCAAGGTGCAGCACGGGGTGCGCCGAATCTCCCATTTTTCTCCGGGACCGATCGGTCAAATATGCATATATATTTCGGATCCATATCACAAAACCGTCCTCACAAACCCATACGGTGGTCCAACTTCATCCCAATTCCACACAAAACAAAGCCATAGCATATTATCACAAACAATTAATCAAACATTGCCAATCAAATGCAGACCATATTAATCATTAAACATCGTAATGCAATTGCACAATTAAACATCCAAAAATCAATTGCAAAATAAATAAATAAATAGTAATTAACGATAATCAACCAATAATAAAATAAATTAACTAATATTAACATAATAATGAAATTTACAAACTAATTCTAATAATATCCATATGAGATCATTTATTAAGTCATTAATTAATTAAATTATTAGCTTTACGGTAACTAATTTGTTAAACAGCTAAAACATATTTTAACCATAACTAATTATAACTACTACCTATAAAAATTCAATTTTTTTATATCAATATCGAAAATGGCTAGGCCTCCCAAATCTTAATTTATCGAATTTCGATTCTAGTCGTTAACCAACTAAAATTCGCCTTATTTCTCTTATGCACAATCGGCTAGTTTTAATCTAATGGTTATCTAATTGACTAATTAACTAATTCTAATTTATTCTTTCTCCTCAAATCACCTAATCATAATATTAATCATGTAATTTATTTGACAATGTTCTAAACTAATTTACAATTACATTATTCTAAAGTCCTAAACCAGTTAACAAATTATGTTCGCTATCCAAATACGCACACTAATCAATCTAATTTATTTACAAAAGACCATAAATGTTCATATATTTTTAAGTTAATCCAATAAGTTAATGTCTTGTTATTCAATTTAGTCTAGTTAATAACTCAATTAAATTCATTAATCAATTAATGCTTTATATATAAAAATTGAGAATTAAGTCTTAGAACGTACCCATTGGGAATCGGGCGACGATTCCATGATTAGCGGGAAGAGAAGAGGATTCTGTCTCTCGGGGCCTCGCCGGAGCGCCGCCGGCCGGTCACCTGACCGCCGCCGCCG